TCCTCTGATGAGTCTGACGTGGATTCATAATCTCTACAGACCAGCACGTGGATGTGTTAGGTTTGGTTTAATCAGTTACAGAAATATGTGAGGAGGACACAGAGATGGCAGAGAGATACCAGGATATAGTGATCCATGATACCTCATGTCATCATGGACCATCAGTACGATCCAGTTTGAGGAACCAATAAACCCCAATGAGCCAAACAACAGAAGAAAAACTGATCAAGTTGATGAACTGGATCCTCAAAATAACCTCAACTCAAGGCCAATTGCTGTCCGTTGTTGCAGAGCTGTGTCACTCACAGAGTTCATTGCTGAGAATGAAGAGATGTTTCATGTTCTCCACCTGAGGACTTGTGTATGATTCTGGTTGGTCCAACCTCAGAAAGCACAGGAAAAAAAGTGTCATGGTTCTTCTTTTTTCCACTTAGATGTTTAAGGATGTTTAAAGACACGTTGAGAGTCATCGTCCGTTTTCTTCTCTGACGTTTAATCTCTGCTGCTTCAGATTTAAAAGTAACTGAACTGGAAACATCGAAGCACATCGTCCTTCGTCTGGTCCTTGACTCCCAACACTTTGTGGTTTTCAGTGTTTCTTTGTTGTGTCGTCATGCAGCAGGTGGGCGGGGCCAGCTGCTGTTTCAGACTGTTAATAATGTACATAGAGCAGCGGGAAGCAGGAAGAAGAATATTTATTCCTTCATTTGTTCTTGGTGTCCATGCCATCCTCGTTCTCCTGAAGCACACAGAGAGAGACAATCATGGTGGACAATTTTAGCGTTTCGCCAACAGAATCGCAGGTCGCGGTCTCAGCCCGGTCCTGTGGGTGTGGCTTCGCCTGAACCCTGTCGATGAATGGCTCTGGTGCTGAGGAGAACTTAATGAAAGCTTTTATTTATGTTGCTGATTCCAGAATATAACAAATAAAACCTGTATACACTCTCCAGCCTGTGTCCGTCACCTCACTGAGCCGGCCAATCATACTTTGTGTTGGGCGACGCACGTAAAGCGCTTGTAAATGTTTAAGTTGTTTCGTTTTTCTTAAGAACAGTTCCCTGATTAAACAGAAATTGTAAAAAAAACCCAAAAACAAATCAACAATGAAACTAACCCTACCCTACCCACAGGTCTTTAGATTCAAAGGCTGTCAGGGTTGAGATGATTGTGCCGGTCCAAGCCAAGAGTGGAACCCAGTACACGTACAGACTAAGTAAGGACAGGATCAGAAGTTCAGTTAAAATCAGAATTTGGAGTAAAAACTGAGAATAACTATGCAAACAGTTTGGGTACAAACCCAAAGTTCACAGTAAAACTGAAAGGTTCAGTAAAAGCTGGAGTCCTTTTCAAATATTTTCTGTAAAAATCAGTAACCCTCCCTGAATACTGAAGTGACTATGACATGAAATGATGGTGTAGAATAAGACTTAAACTGAAAGAGAGCCTTTATTATGGCTGGTGACATAAAGTTCAAACAAGGCAGAAGCACAGTGACTGAACTAAACCATAACTAAACTGGGAAACTGACACTGTGATAAACTATGAAGACTCAGAAAACTATGACTATGAATGCAAAGACTGGCTGTGAAAACATGGAGGGTGGGAACACAGACGACGCGACACAGACTGAATGAAACACAGAGACTAAATACACATGAGGGATGATCAAGGGCTGAGAACACAGCCCAAGGAGCTCCTGTGCTCAGCCTGATGGTGCTGGAGATGTCGCCGATCCGGATACCACCATGATACTCACTGATGATTTAGTCGATTTCACACTGCTGAACAAAAAGAACAAGAACAGGAGTTTTTATCTTAAATTCACATACAGTGCAGGAATATATTAATCGGTATTACAGTTATGTCAAAATCTACACAGATGCATCAAGGAATACAGCCAACCAAAGCAGGATAGCATTTATTGTTCCTGAATTTAAGGTAGGGAAAAGGATCAGTGACGAGTATACACGGGAGAAATGGTTTCAATACTGTTAGCAGTCCAGTGGATTGAAGATACAAGACCACTAAGATCTGTGATATGCTCGGACGAGTTAATCATTGGCCAGTTTGCAAGACAGTCACTCAGACTGCAGACCTGGCATGCTGATAGAGATCCAGCAAACATTATTCAGAGTTATTATGATGGGGCTTATGGTCACCTTCTTATAGGTACCGGCGCATCATGGAGTTAAGGGAAATTAAATAGCAGACAGAATGGCAAAGGGAGCTGTAAAGAGACCGCTGGTGGATATGGATATCAGTAGGACAGAGATCAAGAGTAGAATACAGCATAAAATGAAAGAAAGGTGGCAAAAGCAATGGGAGGAAGAGAGTAAAGGATGAAAAATCCAAAGGAAAACGAAATGAGAAGCAGAGGAAGGAACAGGAGAGAGGAGACGGTTATAGCTCGGCTCAGATTTGGGCACACTGGTTTGAATGACATGTTGTTTTTAATAGGAAAACACAGTTTAGGAAAGTGTGACTGCAATAGAGAAGAAGAAACAACACAACATGTTTTAATGCATTGTCAGAAATATGATGCTAAAAGAAGACACTTGATCAGAAAGCTTGGTGATATGAAAGTGAAACTGGACTAGCTTGATTTATTTCACAGGCACTCTAGAAGTGAAAGTTATCGGGCCATATTTTGGTTTTAATTCAGACTCATTCGTTTGGGAGGATTTGAATAGTCTGTTTGTTTTTTGTCATTTCGGTGCTCACTCCACACCAGTGGGTGGCGCTAATGCACCATTTTGCTGTTTGCCAACCGCCAATAAACAATATAAAGAAGAAGAAGAGTTCCCGGTGTGGCCGCTGAGATGGGGGCAGCACTGAGCTGCTGCGGAGGAAGCTACAGAGGAGCAGAAGAAGAGCAGCAGCTGAGCGTGTGCGGCCTGCCGTTCCGCTGTGTTTCGCTGTTTTCCCGAGTTTTCGGATTCATACTGAAGCTGTTCTCCGCTCACAGCTCTGCCCCCGGACTCCGCCGCTCTCAGGTACTTGAAGCCGCTCCGTGGCTCCTCTGCCGGTCAAAGGGCCGTTAGCCTCTGCTAGTTGCTGTTAGCATGGCGCTAACGGCTCTCATAGATAAACATCAAGTTATTAATCACATTATTGATGAGATTGTCGGCGCCTGTTAACGGTCAGATAACTGATCTTCGGACGGGGCGTGGCTGTGTAATGAAGCGCAGTTTGCGCTGTTTTAGCCTGTGTACGGTGGCCGAGAGGAGTCTAACTCCATACGCTCTTTAAAGCCTTCAGAGTGAATTCGTGGTCACGTGATGCAGCTTCAAACATTTAAGCGGTTAATTCTCATCGATTGGAAATCGTTGGTTATCGATCTGAGTGACTCTTCGCGCTTCAGTCTTAGTGGGCGGAGTCAGTGTGACTACTTCCTGTCCGGGTACCAGCTGAAATAACCTGATGGTGGTTTGTTTGGACCAGCAGGGGGCGCTGTAGCAGATGGAGCCTCCCGCAGAAGGAAAGCAGCTCTTCCTGCTGGGAGCTGCAGGAGAGGAGGAGAGGAGGAAGGAGGTGGGCTGCCAGTGGGAGAGCCCCGAGGAGGACAGGAAGGAGGTGGGCTGTCAGAGCGAGGCGGCAGAGAGGAGGGACGCCGCCGTGCAGGTGGACCTGCTGAGTCAGCAGCTGAGCTGGAGACACTCAGGTGAGAGCGCCGCCCTGCAGGTGGAGGGAGGAAACTTTCAAAGAACTTAATGGGAGGAAAAAAAGATTTAAATGTTAGTTTTAAACTTTAATTAATATGTAAATTATTAGATTTTTAAGTTTCCCTAAAAATCAAATAAAATCAGAGTCAGCTGATCGTGACCTCACTTTGTTCTGTCTTTACTATATTTTTGCTGCTTGTTAAATAAAATTATGTTCCGGTTCTTACTGAGGTTCACCTGAACTTTTCACCTGCTGCCATCTTTTGTTCCCAAACCCGTTGGTTGTCACCTGTTGTCGTCATAGTGACGGGTCGGGTTGGGCGGTGCTTCCTGCTCGCTGGTGTGGGGGCTGGTTGTGTTTGCACTTTGTGCACGGCGCTGAACTCCCAGGTTGTTGCTGGTCGGTGAAGCTTCTCTGATGGATTTTGACAGTTTGGGGTTTAAAGGTCTTTGACGCACTGCTGAGGTCTGTTTCTCACTGCCCTGGAAAAGGTGCATGCCTGCAGGTTAACGCTTCCTACGACCCCGCGTGGAGCTGAGGTCGGAGAGACCGTACGCTGCGCTGCTTGCCCTGTTAGCAGTGGCTGTTTGGGCTCCTTCTCACCCATTGGCTGAGTATCTGTGAGCCACTGACGGTCTCTCAGACATCTCAGCAGTGGTGATGGTGCGTCTCCGTCACGAGAAGCTACTGGACTTATTTCCACCTTTACCTCATGGGCTGCTTTTAAGGTGGAATGTTTAATCAGTCAGCTTAGATCGTTGCGTCAGTGCTGATAGATCTAATTTAGTCTGAACTTTGAAGTGAGGCGCTGATCTGAGGCCAGGCGTGATGATGCGTTTCTGACAGAAGGACGCAGCGCTGCCGCCCTGAGCGTCTTCGCCCCAATCCACTGAAGAAGAACAACCCCAGGTTTGTAGCCAGGCTGACAGTCAGAGCTCTGTGGAGCCAACCATCCCTTTAACGTTAGCAAGACTATTAATAAGAACTGATGTTAAGAAATAATTACTACAGAAGAAGAAAAGTGGTGGTCGGCCTCCCTGT